TCCATATAACTTTGGAAACATTGTTTTGATTTGGCTCGTTAACCATGTAAATTTATTCTAACATCACAAAGAAATGAACGGTCACACTATCACTTGACATTTAACCCTTTTACAATCAGACTTTCTTGCCCTAATTTATTTGCACTTTTTTTGAGTAAATTTTCAATTCTTAGTCAAAACATAAACCAATCAACATTGTGGTCACCCACTTACTATACAAGCAAATTTGTTTCCAGATTAATATGAAGAGGGACGAAGGACTCACCAAATTATAAAAAAGTAATCATTAAAGGGGAGCAGAGGTCTGGCTTTTGTCACTTTGTACATCAAATTTGTACATCAAATCTATGGATGGCGATAAAAACAACTTGTATGTGCTGCAAAACAAGCTGTGAAGACACCCACTTTGCATGGTATCATTTTGCCTCTAGAGGGCCAGTAAATGATATCATCAGTGAACACTAATAATTGAACCCATTCATTCTAGTATGTCAATCCCACAGAAAGACCTTGTTAACTGACAATTTAAACGTTGAAACATGGCGGGGTATTGTGCGTATGAATGCCATAACGATTCATGTTAAGTTTCTCAAAATCCCAAATGAAACATCATGTTGTTGGTTGTGAGAAATCGGCAAAAGAAATAACCTGAAAGTGAAGATACATACAATGTTCTAGCTATCAGTAAACAGTGAGTAAATAATTATACGAGTTAAAACTAATTAGAAATACTCTAACATCACTTCCAACTGTTCAATTGATCACTTAATTTCCAACCACACAGTATTTTCCCTGACTGTAAATGACTGCATTATTATCTTAGCTCGCTTGAAAACACCAACCAATTGCCCAAACACTGATCACTGGTACAGGATTGGTCAAAATGGTGGTTTTAATGGTAAAGTTTGAGGATACAAGTATTAACTATTAACTATTTTCGCTTGGAATTTATTTTTGGTTATTTTTGCCGAAAAAGTGATTCAGGCAATTTTTTTATTATCGCTTGTTTCGCGAACCCGCCGAATGAACTGGAGCCGAAAATGAAATAAAAATAAAATTTTATTTCAGCACAATTTCTCGCGCCCGCCGACTTGTAAAAAAATATTTTTTTTATTTTCATTTTTTTTACCACCGCCGAATAACAAATCCAAGTTGCATTTTCGTGGGAGTATCATGATCAAAGTACCGAAGTCTCGCGCAGATGAGAAACAAGGTTATACATGGAATAAAATTTTATTTCATTTCTTCTCTCCGATCAATAATCTCACTTACATTTCCTTGAGAATCACACAAATCTAATAGAAAAAAAGGATTAATTTCATTTTTTTTCGCCCTCCTCAAAAAAATTGCCTTATAAAAACTCACAAAACAAGGAATAAAAAAGTCTGGCCTCAGTAAAAATAAAATCCAGCGAATTTACCTTTTTTCTTAGATTTTACATTCAACTCACCAAAAATCAGTGAAAATAAATTCTATATAAAATACCCAAAAAATCTTTTCAGCGAAAATTAATTCCAGTGAAAATAAATTATTTCACAGTATTATTAACAGTTATGTGAAAAGGGCATTGTTGACTTCTTTGGGCCAAGAGCAGAAAAGCAAGGAAAATATTGATGTGGTTTTTATTCCAAAAATAATGATGCTAAAGCAATGTCGGTCTGGTAAAATTTGACATCAAAATTGAGTCATGATCAGGTGCTGGGCTTGATCTACAAAAGTTTTCTCACAAACCAGTGCGATAGTAAAAACGGCGACATGCTCTGAAAAAATCAAACAGAGCTTAACAATAATAAATAATATATTGGACTCAGAAAAAATAAATATTTGGAAATTCATGATTCCCAGAAGACCTTCAGTATTGAAAATCATCTACCCTAGTCTGGTTTACCTTTTTTTTTTTTCAACTTGCAAAGAAAACTGATTCGTCATGTACCCTAATGTATCTCAGCCTAGTTTTTTTCTTTTTGAACTGAGGTCAAATCTAAGCTTTGTCAAAATATACCGATGTTGCTCAAGTGAATAATTATGAAGCTTATCGAAGCACAAGAACAAAAGTACATAAATTGACAACAGTGATTGGATGGTATGAAAACCTTTCAATTTGCGTCAAATATGCTTTGTCACAACATAATTGATTGGCTGAAAGTCATCTGATCAAAGCACGACCTGGGTCACAGAAGTATACTTTTTGTGAAAGAACCACACTCACATTTTCAACTATTTTTAGCATTAAAGTTGTTGAATGAAATAAAGCTAGCGATTGGTAAGAATGGTTATTAATACATATTAACCAATGCTCATTGACATTTTTTTATAGTTGGAATTGAGTGATTCAGCGAGACAACTCTAATTCTTTTTTAGTTTGGCAATGAAATATAGATAAATATATATACCTATACACTTGTTTCAAATGGCTAATTTCATTGATTTTTTTTACTATGTTCTTGCTACATTCTGGTGATACATTGTATCAACTTATTGGTAATATTTTGTACTACTGTTTGTTTGCAAGGAATTAATTTAGGTTTTCAATAATATAATGCAGACAGGAAAATTGGAGATTTTGCAAAACAAAGTTTTTATTGTTACAACATTCACTGTTAAAGAAAAAAATCACACGATTATAAAAAAAATAATGTAAAAAAATGCATAAAAACACAGTTAAAAATAATATAGAGAATCTTGTTTGTTGTAAATAAATAAAGAATAAAATTAATGGTAAGTTTTACTTTATTCTGAACAGAAACTTGGATAATTTTGGCAAGTGTCAATTTCAGTTATTTTAGTGTCTGTTGCTGTTCATGGTTTAAAATCCTTCGAAGTCACTAGAGCTACTGTCATCAGAGTTGAAATAGCGTTCAAGTATTTCAGCACATGTTGGCAAATCATCATCGCTGTTGGAGCCGCTGGGTATGTCATCATCACTTTCTGATGAAGTGTCACCTGTGATATCAACGCCAAGCTGAGATGCTACCACTTCATCAATTTGTTGTTTGGCTTCATCGCACCTGTATATTGCGTCCTCAGAACCGTCAAGATTGTTTGCTAATCCAGTAACTGTGAATGATTATTTCAGCATGTCTGGTTGTTCAGTTTCTTCAATCCAGTGAACTTTTTCCTGCTTTGTCGCTGTCTTGGGTCTTTCGCCGGGGTTCAGTGTGCGGAGCTGTTGTTCAATAAAGTTACACCACTTCTTTATATAATCCTTGAAAGGTTTGTTAATGGACACATCCAGGGGTTGTTGATTAGATGTACAACCACCTGAAATTACGGCCCTGTACGTGTTAGTAGACTGCAGACTGCCTGTAACAGAGTCTTAAAGAGATTAAAGATTGGCGACTCTTGGTGTATGGTAACCATACGTGTGTTAACCAAATCTTCATCTTCATCTTCTTCTGCACTTCCTCGACTATTTCATCAGGTACAATGAGTTTCAGTTTCCGTACACCCTTGAATATAATCATGGAAGGGAGCATCACGCCATTTGCCAAGACTGTTAGAATGACAGTCAAATGACGTTTGACGTTTGCCACGTACAGTCTTTGCTCCTTTATGTTCAATGGATGTGCTTTGCAATAAATGGAAGTACATTGGTGTTTCACCCATATTCCCTATCAGTTCCAAAGACAAATAGAATTTATGCTGTTGTTGTACGACGAACTCGTGAAAAGCAGTAATTTTTTTTCTTCAAGTTCTGATGGTAAATGTTGTGCGACTGAAGTTTGGCGGCAAACTGATAGCGAGTGTCTATGTAAAAACTGTCGTGCCCAATCCGATTAAAATCTGATGTAGTGTACGGGCTTTAATTATTTTGGCTATAAACTTAGTTTAATTTTATTTTTTATTACTTATGTTATTAATGCCCTTTTATCTCATTATTTTACTTTGATTTTGATTTTGATTTTGTGATTTTTTTTTAATTCCGCCCTACCTACATCTGATCCGACGCCTATGTAACGAGATTTCAACGAGACCCACTATCG